TATGGAGCCATATTCTAATAAAATTACTGCATTTCAAAGATAAAGAACAACTCTTTCAAGAATGTTGGTAAAAATACGGAGTCACTTATAAGGAGAAAAATATTTAGCTGACTTCAGATTTAGAAGGACCACCTGAGGACCATGGAACTACAGCTGCAATATATTCAAGGAAATAAAGTATCATGAAATAATTTTATATCCCACGAAATTTAAGGTACAAGTCTACAAAAAATCAATTCTGAAAAGGAACAACACTCGGGAAATGTTCCCATAAACCCTTCTTGAGGAAACTAATAGAGGATAAACTTCAGCCAAAGAGAAGTGATTGGAGAAGCTACTACAAAAGTCCAGCTCTATTTGTCAAAAGAAAATGTGGGAAAAGGAAAAATATAAATGCCATACAAACTAATAATGTAGGAATGGTACAATTACAGAAAAATAGTAGGAGAAGAGAGTAAACATGTGGAGAGTAGATTAATTTTGCTGATTGCCGTATCTGAAGAAGCTAGGCATTAAATATTATACGGTTGGTAAATTAGATGAAAGAAATATAAGGATATTTAACAATGAAAAGATAAACACTAAGAAAGATACTCCTATTGACTAATATTAGAGGGTATGGGAAAGGGTTAAAGGGAGGAAAATAAAACATTGTTCAAAGGAAAGAAGTAATAGATATGTCTAATGAAAGGACTAGGGGTATCATATACATTTGAAATTTTAAAGGAAAGCCTTAGAATAAACATACAAACCCTTCTAAATCTCAAAAGACATATACAAAGCAAAGCAAAGGAAACAAACTACATAGTGAAAGACTTCAAAAAATTAAAGTGGTAAAACATAAAATAATACAACAGATTAAACAAACCATCGTATTAGCAAATGTAGATAGATTTAGTTTATATATTCAAAGAAAAAATTCAGATTGGATAAAAAAACAAATACAAACCCTTTTTCTTTACCTAAAGCACAGCGTTTCAAAGTAGATGAAAACAAAAACAAAGGCAAAGGTGTATCAGACAAATGTAAACAAAAAGAAAGTCTATTGAGGGAAGCTTAGTCTTACCACCAGTTAAGGTAACGCCAAAAAAAAAAAAAAAACAAACCCAATAAACTAGACACAGAAGTTCTTTTTGTAATTCTGAAAGGTGCAGTACTCAATAAATATGTGAACTGTATGATTATCTGTGCATAAAAACCATGACATCAATATTCATAAAGCAAAGACCACAAGAGAGAAAAGACCAAATAGACACACTACTGGTAAGAGACTTTACCTCTCAGTTGGTGGCAGATTAATTGTATAAAAATAAACAAGAATATAGAGGATATAAATTACATAAACAATGATGTACAACTGGTATGTATTAAATTTTCTGCCTTGAAACACCTTTCCAAGTGCTTATGAAATGTTATTGAAAACTGATCACTCATGAGGCTAATTGAGTTTTAAAAAAGAAAGTGCTGATTAGACACGATTCTCTGATCATAATGCTATTAAGTTAGATTTTAATAACAAAAATAAGAAAACAAAAAGACCTTTCCAACTGAAAATATAAAACTTTTTTCTTAAACCATTTGGGTCAAAGAGAAAATACAAACAAAAATGCAAATGCTACATATCGAAATCTAGGAGATGCAGCTAAAGCAGCACTCAGGAAAATGTATAGCTTAAATGCCTTCATTATCAAGGAAGAAAAGAAAAATAAAGAACTAATTACTCATCTTCAGAAATTAGAAAAAGAGTAAAATTAAACAAAATAAAATGGGAAGAGATAATAAAGATAAATGCTAAAGTTAATGATATAGAAAACAAACAAAAAATAGTAGATAAACAAATCTGAAGGCTGTATAGATTTGAAATGACCAATAATGACACCGACTTAAGAATAAATAGAGCAAAATATTCAAAATTGGAAAAATGAGACAGAGGGCCACAGGTATAGGAAAACAAAAATAATTGTAAGAGATTATTAATTATGTGAAGATTTCTGGGTAACACATATGAAAGCCTAGAGGAAATTTATTATTTCACAGAAAAAATGTAAATTTCTAAAATCGTCTCAAGATGCAGTTGAAAATTAGAATAAATCAATTAACATAGAAGAGATTAGGAAAGTGGATGAAGCGCTATCCATGAAAGAGCCAACATTATCAATTTGGTTTAGAGGTGAGTTTTTGAAACTTTTTGGGGAAAAATGTAATTTCAAAGGTTACTGAAATTGTTTTAGGCTATAGAAAATAATGAAATTTCAGTATTATTGTCTGATAAAGATAAGACAATAAGTGAAAAACACTGACCAGTCAACTCATAAACATTGATGCAGTGATTCTACATAAAATTATTAGTCAATAATCCAGCGAGGTATCAAGAGAATACCGTAAAACTAATAAGATTTTATTTTAGGGATGCAATCATGGTTCAATAACAGGAAATTTATTCAGTAATAAGTGTTCAAACACATTTGATTTTTATAAAACAATTATTTGTCATGAAAGCTCCACTAAAAATAGAATTGGAGGAAACATACATATAAAGAAACATTGAAAACACATATATGCTTTTTAAAGTTTTCAAATAATACTCTTCCCGATAATATTTCTGTATAATAGGATCAGAAATTTGAAGCACTAGATGGCAGGGGTTCTTGATAAATGCAAGGGGAGATGTTTCTGGGGCAGCATGCAGCCCTTGATATAACACATGTATGATTCTTTTTTATATATGTAGTTTATCTGGTATCTCAGAATTATAGCTTTCTGATACTTTATGATCATATATACTTTAAATTTAAGCATTGTGATTTCCACAGAAGCAGTGTTCCTTCCATAGTTTACTTCTCAGATTGAGCTAGGCATACCCTTAGAGTTAGGTAACCCTGGGTGAGGATATCCAATGTCACAGACTAACATAGCTAGTTTCAGCACTGTAAATTTTCACTGAAGATTGGGGATGAGTACAATTAGCTGATTTAGCTCCTAAGTAATGTATATTGTATATTGAAACAACCAGACATATTATGGATTAAAGTTTAAATTTTGCATGAATTATGATGATAAAACATAAGAAGTCAAAGGTTTTTTTGGTGATTATATGGGGACTCTTTGAAATATTTCCCTAAATTCCTGGAGGTGCATATAATTCTACACTGGTGTTAGGAATATTTTGGTGGAAAAGTTTGAGACACTCTGTCTTACAATATCATAGATATAAATGTTTTTATCCTTTAAAACTGTCATGAAATTACAACTATTTTATTGATAAAATGATGGTTGTTCTAACCTTAAAACACTTGAGTGTTTTGCGAAGATCTCTGTTAGAAAACATTTAAATTGCATCGCTAGATTACACAGGAATGGCATTCAGTAATTTCATTGTTGTACACAGTTGTGAGATATGGGAACTGAGATTCTCCCTTATCTTTTGTTATTTGTAATAAGCATGCATTATCAAATATCTACTAATTTCCTACAAAAGGAAAAAGTAAGGTGATGCCTAATGTTCCTGGCTAATCTTCAAAAACTTTTATTTTTTTCACTTATCACAATTCTCTAACATTTCTGATTGGAGATGATTATATTTATGCAAAGATACAGATGGGAAATTTATAACCCAAAGAATAATAAAGATCATACAGCTGACTCTGCCATTCTGTATTTTAAAGACAGAATTTGTCATTCTTTATAAGTGATATTTAAATTTATATCACTCCAGAGGTGAATATGAGCCCTGGTCAGATTGCTGTGGGGCAAATTTATTCATTCAGAAATTACAGGACTATTTGCAAGGCAGGTGCTGAAGAGATCTAATAATGAATCAGACAGATCCAGTTTTCCAGAAGCTTTTAATTGGGTAAAGGAGACAAACAATATACTATTGGTAATATTACAATGAATAATAAATCAGATGAATCCATAATTATATCAAATCCGTATTATGTAAAACGCATATTCAATAATAGATATTGAAAGAGTCTAAAAGTTGGATAAAAGTTACTCTGGAGGACTGGAAAAAAGTGGAAGAAAGAGAAGCTTGGAAGGAACAGAAAAAGCAGAGTGATTGCCAATAAAATGAATTTAAATTCTTTTATCCAGGAATTATCAAAGGACTTTGGTAACCAGAGTACTTTAAGTGTAGTACACACTTAAGATAGTAGGCATTGGGAAAGCTTCCATGCAACTTGTAAATTCCCAGAAGGTTAGAAGGAAAAACAGCCTGAAAAATTATACTTTAAGGGATCTTGTGAATCTAATTTATAAAATGCTTTCCAAATCACAATTATCTTTGGAAGTATGACTCCAGTTTCACTTTAACATAGATGTCATTAAATTTTAAGTTCTAAATTAAAGAACCAAATGGTATCTGGGAATCTTTGAACATGTATATTCATTGAAGTAACAAATAAGAATCCTAGTCAAATGGAAACCAAGAGAGCTAAACTAATTAAATTTTGGAGGCCAGGTGCGGTGGTTCACACCTGTAATCCCAGTGCTGTGGGAGGATTGCTTTAGCCTAGGAGTTCAAGCCTATCCTGGGCAATAGAGCAAAACTCTGTCTCTATGAAAAATACAAAAATTAGCCAGGTATGATGGCATGCCCTTGTAGTACCAGCTACTTGGGAGGCTAAGGTGGGAGGATCCCTTGAGCCCCAGAGTTCAAGGCTGCAGTGAGCTATAATCATGCTGCTGCACTCCAGCCTGAGTAACAGATGGAAACCCTGTCTCCAAAATAATAAATAAACTAATAATAAATAAGTTTTGGGTTTAGAGATTGGTGTGTGTGTAGGGGGAGGAGCATGTACTTTATTCAAATTATTGAGTATAATGTCTTATTCTCCTCCTCCCTATTTCTCATTACCCGTAATTAGTTATTGATAGAACATGGTTATTTTAGAAATTACTGTTGCTACAACGAAGATTTCCTCATATTCAACCATTTATATGAACACATGAATGCATAAAAGTAAGATTCTTTCTCTCTCTCTTTTTTAAATTTCCAGGCATAGATATTCTTCATCAACTAGGCCTTGGAGGCAAAGATGTAAGACACTCATCATCAGCGACTGCTGTACCAGCATCATCTACACCATTACCTCAGGGGGTCCATTTAACAGAATCAGGCGTCATTTTAAAAAATGATGCTTATATTGAGACACCTTTCATGAAAATTTTACCAGTCAACTTAGGGCGGCCGTTTACAATATTAACTGGGTTACAGTCACATCGGGTGAACAATGCATTTCTCTTCAGCATTAGAAATAAAAATAGACTGCAATTAGGAGTGCAATTACTACCTAAAAAATTAGTAGTACACATTAGAGGAAAGCAGGCTGTAGTTTTCAACTACAGTGTTCATGATGAGCAATGGCATTTATTTGCCATTACTATTAGAAACCAAAGTGTCTCAATGTTTGTTGAGTGTGGAAAGAAATATTTTAGCACAGAGACTATTTCAGAAGTTCAGACCTTTGATTCTAATAGTGTGTTTACTTTAGGAAGTATGAATAATAATTCTGTCCATTTTGAAGGAATAGTATGTCAGTTAGATATTATTCCTTCTGCAGAAGCATCTGCAGACTACTGCAGATATGTGAAACAGCAGTGTCGCCAAGCAGACAAATACCAACCTGAAACAAACCTTCCTCATACAACTCTCATACCAACTAAGATACTGGAACACTCTCCCCCGCCCAAACGATTTGCTGAAAAAGTACTGTCAGAGGATACATTTACTGAAGGCAGAAGTATTCCAAATATCATAAATAATGATTCTGAAACAGTGTATAAAAGACGAGAACAGCAGATATCAAGATCTCAGTTATCTTCTCTTCAGTCAGGAAATGTCTCTGCTGTGGATCTCACAAACCATGGGATTCAGGCCAAAGAAATGATCACTGAGGAAGATACTCAGACAAATTTAAGCCTGTCAGTGACCCCTCATCGCATCAGTGAGGCAGGAATGAATACCAAAGAGAAATTTAGTTCTCTTCTAAACATATCTGACAATATCACACAACATGATGATAGAGTAACTGGTCTGTCACTGTTTAAGAAGATGCCATCTATTCTTCCACAAATAACACAAGATACAATTACCAATCTCAAGAAGGCTATCACAGCAAATCTACATACTAATGAACTCATGGAAATGCAACCGATTTTAAACACAAGCTTGTACAGAGTGTCAAATGAACCGTCTGTGGATAATCACCTTGATCTAAGGAAAGAAGGTGAATTTTATCCTGATGCTACTTATCCCATCGAAAATAGCTATGAAACTGAGCTTTATGATTATTATTATTATGAGGATCTAAATACAATGCTCGAAATGGAGTATCTGAGAGGGCCAAAAGGAGACACTGGACCTCCCGTAAGTTTTTTTTGTTTTGTTTTGTTTAGTATCTCTTAATACGCTAACTTACATTTTAAACTCTCTTTAAAGTACATTTTAAAGAGAGTTCTCTGGACCAAACAATACATAACAGATAAAATCTGTCACAGAAATGCATTCTGGCATGGTAAGTGAATTTATGGTTGCTGTAACACATCTGCCAGAATGTAACCCTGGCTCAAATATTGTGCTTTTGTTCTTCAACTGGTAGGCTAAAAGGTTACTTCATTCTGGTTAAGTAGTGGGCAAACTATTTGTTTTTCTTGTTCAGTTGAAATTCAATCAGTAATTCAACTGCTAAGTATAGATAATATATTTATATTTTGAAAACCGTAGGAGAATGCATAGTCATGTTAAGAGAAGGATATAAAAATATGGTAGATTAAAGAAAAATACATTAAAATACGCCTATTAAATATTATCACAGCAAAATAGCATCAAATAGATTAAAATAGGGTGTAAAACTTACTTTAGATAGAGATTATTGTGTAATGAATCATTGACTGTCCTTAGTGATGTGGTCAATTTATATTTATGGGTTAATTAAAGCTCCCCTTGCCTAACACAAGGAGAACCAGTTATCAGTCAATTCAATGTGGGGAGGGGAAAAAAAAAAAAGAAAACTAAGGCACTTGTTTAATATCATATAAACGAAACTGTGAGATAATAGACTGAATTTTTCAGCCCTGAATTTCTTTTGTTGTATAGGTGGGAATTAGAGATCAACATTTAAAAATTTCTAAAATCATTTAAAAACCACTCAAAGCCATTTAAAATCACAGTGTTGGAAATATTGTTTTTACACTTCATATTTGTATAATTTACCTTTATGTCTTTGGAAGTTGTTTTTTTTGTCAAAATTTCAAGGAGACTAAAATATATCTTAAAGTATTTATTTAATGAAAATAAAATTTGAGTCTTTGGCTTAGCTCTAGAAATCATAGAATGGGAGAAGGTGAAGTCACTCTTTTAGCTTGTGTTTCCTTCATGGTTATTCCTAAAAGTGATTTGATAGGTATTGAGCCACTCTTGCTAGAGTAAATGTTTGAGGTTTAAAAATAAAATATGAAGAATATACTATTATAGAGAAATAAACTCTTCAACTATGGCAATTATCAACATATTGGTCATAAAATTGAATCACTGGACATGTCATATTAAGCAAATAGTTATGGAAGTAATTTACTTTCTTCAGAAAAAGTCAGTCTGATCAGATGAGCGTCAATCTCTTCTGTAAATTCAAAAATAGTCATTCAATATTGGCAGGTGAAACAGTAATATTCAGCAGATATTTACTCAGTCTCTGCTATATGCAAGGCAGGAACACAAAGTATGTATAACCCAGTAATTGCTCAGAAAAAGCTTGTATTTCACAATGAAGATATTTATAACTATTAAATATATCTTGTGATAAAGTAGGATAAATGTTGCAGAGAGATGCAAAGTAAGTGTATGGGCTAGAGATGTTCAAAGGTTAAAAAAAGTAGTATTTTTTTGATGGAGTCTCTCTGAAAAGTCGCTTAAAGCTGAGCTGTTCAGAATAAGATCTTGTGGACAAAGTTAGTTATGACCTAAGCTCTAAGAATGGGTAAGATTTTGATAGGTGAGAGGAGTAGGTGAGTTTTTTTTTTATAACAGCATAATAGCTATCATTTATTGAGTACCTTGTGAAAGATGCTCTACCAGTCTCTTTACATATATTATCTTAAAAGAACTTTGTAAAGTTAGTAGTGTTATCCTCATTTTTCAGGTGAAGAAACTGAAGCCCAAAGAGTTAATTTACTTGCCCACAATGACATTGTTGGTAAACGATAGAGGATTTGAATCCATGTTTTCTTCCTCTAAAGCAGACAAATAAAGATCCAAGCTTGATGGTGTCAGGTTGTGGACATTCTTAACTGTCAAATGATCATTCTAACTTTATCTTGTTCTCAAAGGGGAATTTTGTAGGTTTCTAAGCAGAGATATTAATCGGAAAGTCGGTCTGGTAACAGTGCCAAGGATAGGAAGTTTCTGTTACCATCTTGGTGTTAAAGGCCTAGAACATTATCTAGGTTGGCAGCAGTGAAAATGCAAAGGAAAAGTCGGATTCAAGAGATTTTGGAGGAAGATTTGGTAGAACTAGGAAATTAATGGGACCTAGGGAGCAAGCAAAAAGGAAAAGAATAAAAGATGACTATCAGATTTTAAGCCTGCAGGTTGAGAGCATGGTGATATCATTATTAAAAACTGTAATTAAGAGGGAAAGTCAATTTTAGGAGAGAAAAATGAAACATTTAAAGAACTGTTGGTAATTCAGCTGTTAGAAGAGTTGAAGAAGCTGAAGTAAAGAAGAGATGTCGAGGCTGGGGATATAGATTTGGGAGTATTCCTATTGATATTATAGTTGAAACTCTAGAGTTGGATAGATTTTCAAACAGAGGAATGTGGCATAGGGTCACCAGTCAAATCAGGGGGATGTTTGCTTTTTGGTTATAGAAAGAAAAAGCAAAAATGTGATGAGAAGTCAGAGAGACAGGAGAAAAGAATAGTAATATCAAAATATAAAAGAAGCAATATCAAAAAGCCAAAGAAGAGACTTTTGAGAAGGAATTGATCAGCACGGCCAAAAGAGAGAAGTCAAAGAGAGTGAGGACTGAGAAAAAGGGGTAATCTGTTAAATATTTTGGTGAAAAAGTCATTGTAGAACTTTGAGAATCCTAACTTCAGCACAATGTAGAAGACTAAAGGTAGATTTTAGAGAGCTAATGAGAGACTGAATGGTGATAAAATAATGAACTTGTAGGAATTGTTTTACTGCTTCTTGAAGTAGATGTGACTGAAAAGCCTGAAGCCAGCCTGGTTTTTCCTACTTTTAGGTGACAATTTTTTCCTGCCTATATACCATGCAGTTCTATATCTTTGAAGTTCTTTAAACCTATTAGGTTCTGAATCAGGTTTTTGGGGGAATACTCTTTTGATCAGAAGATTACTTTTTGTTATAGAAAGACCTTTTAATAACCAAATATTGCTTGGTTCCATTTTTCTAAATTCTTCAGGCATACAAGCTTGTGTATGTCAAATGTCATTTGTGATGATGAATGGTATTTATTATCTTCTCTACAACTGTGTCATCATGATTGCTCTTTTCCATTTCCTTTTGTGTGAACTCATTTATTCTATATATTCCTATCCCTTCATTGATTTTTAAATTCTATTTAATTAGTTTTTATTGCTCTGACATGGCTTTCATCAAAGAGTTTCTTTTTTTCTCTTTCATTTTTTTTTTAAATCTTTCACATTTTTTAAAATCTTTCACAACTCTTCTTTGAGCTTTATTTTTGAAGATTAATGTCATGTTGACATTCTTTGAATATGTAGTGAACTATGTAACTGAACTCTTTATCTGCTATATGAAGTCATTCCTCTTCTGGTAAATAATTTTCTTTTTTTTTCACATTAACAATTATTCTCTTCATTATGTGCTAATAAAAAGGTTGCTGTTAGTGAATTAATGTTAAAACAATATTCATGTTAAAAGAATGGTACTAAGTAGAATTATTTTTTATTGTACTTTAAGTTCTACGGTACATGTGCACAATGTGCAGGTTTGTTACATATGTATACATGTGCCATGTTGGTTTGCTGCACCCATTAACTCGTCATTTACATTATGTATTTCTCCTAACGCTATCCCCCCCCTCTACCGCCACCACATAACAGTCCCTGGTGTGTGATGTTCCCCACCCTATGTCCAAGTGTTCTCATTCTTCAATTCCCACCTATGAGTGAGAACATGTGGTGTTTGGTTTTCTGTCCTTGTGATAGTTTGCTCAGAATGATGGTTTCCAGCTTCATCCATGTCCCTACAAAGGACATGAACTCGTCCTTTTTTATGGCTGTATAGTATTCCATGGTGTGTATGTGCCACATTTTCTTAATCCAGTCTATCATAGATGGACATCTGGATTGGTTCCAAGTCTTTGCTATTGTGAATAGTGCCACAATAAACATGCGTGTGCATGTGTCTTTATAGTAGCATGATTTATAATCCTTTGGGTATATACCCAGTAATGGGATGACCAGGTCAAATGAGATTTCTAGTTCTAGATCCTTGAGGAATCACCACACTGTCTTCCACAATGGTTGAACTAGTTTACAGTCCCACCAACAGTGTAAGGGCGTTCCTATTTCTCCACATCTTCTCCAGCATCTGTTTTTTCCTGACTTTTTAGTGATCACCATTCTAACTGGTGTGAGATAGTATCTCATTGTGGTTTTGATCTGCATTTCTCTGATGACCAGTGATGATGAGTATTTTTTCATGTGTCTGTTTTTTCAGATGTCATTTATTCAAATGTCTTCTTTTCAGAAGTGTCTGTTCATCTCCTTTGCCTACTTTTTGATGGGGTTGTTTGATTTTTCTTGTAAATTTGTTTAAGTTCTTTGTAGAATCTGGATATTAGCCCTTCGTCAGATGAGTAGATTGCAAAAATTTTCTCCCATTCTGTAGGTCGCCTGTTCACTCTGATGGTAGTTTCTTTTGCTGTGCAGAGGCTCTTTAGTTTAATTAGATCCCATTTGTCTATTTTGGCTCTTGTTGCTGTTGCTTTTGGTGTTTAAGTCATGAAGTCATAGGCCCATGCCTATGTCCTGAATGGTATTGCCTAGGTTTTCTTCTAGGGTTTTTATGGTTTTAGGTCTAACATTTAAGTCTTTAATCCATCTTGAATTAATTTTTGTATAAGATGTAAGGAAGCGATCCAGTTTCAGCTTTCTACATACGGCAAGCCAGTTTTCCCTGCACCATTTATTAAGTAGGGAATCCTTTCCCCATTTCTTGTTCTTGTCAGGTTTGTCAAAGATCAGATGGTTGTAGGTGTGTGGTGTTATTTCTGAGGCCTCTGTTCTGTTCCATTGGTCTATATATCTGTTTTGGTACCAGTACCATGCTGTTTTGGTTACTGTAGCCTTGCAGTTTGAAGTCAGGTAGCGTGAGGCCTCCAGCTTTGTTCTTTAAATTTATTTTCCTGTCCTCTCACTTTTCCCTTCCTCCCAGCATCTATTTATAAATCCTCTACTGATTGCTCTCTGGTTATTATTCATTTTTAAAATAAAGGCAACTCTATCTGGGTGACTTGTTTCAGAATGGTATAGGGAGAGGCATAGGAAAGTAAGGTGGAATGGTACACAGACTCAAATTTAGATTGCTGCCTGAAACACCATCTTACCATATTTGTTGTATCTTCTACCCAGAGGCATGTGTCTTCTCATGTTCACACACAATTTGTTGTGAAGCCTTTTGTATCACAGGTTCTCTCAGAAGTGATAGGGTGATTTGTGTTCTTCTTGTCTTTTGTCCCCTCTCACCAGAGAGGGTTCTGGTTGTGGATCATAAAAATGGTATTTTCTTCTTCAGCTCCACCTTTTCTACTCTTGGCTCTTTGAAGTTGGGTTTTTACTGGGTCATGAATCATGTTTCCTGTGGCCCATTCCCTTAAGCCTTATCATAATCAAAAAATTGTTGAAGTGGATTTTGAAGATGAATATGTATCCAAGATTTGAGGTCTGAGGAGGTTTTTGGTTTTGGTTATCTCTCAACACCTTCGCTCCAAAGTTCCTCAGTATTGGGCAGATAATCTTCACATTTTGTGGTTTGTGGTTATGATCCTTTCCTTGTTTCAGAGGATATGATGTTTTCTTCTTTTGGTGCTTCTTGTTGTTTATAGCTGATTTTGAGGGAGGGAGAGTAGTCTGAAAAATCTTCTCACTCTGATATCTTTTACCAAAATTCTCTAGTGATCTTTTACAAACATGAATCAGATAACATTATTTATCAGCTTAAATCCTTCAGTGGAAGAAGGTTATAGCACTTAAACTCAAACTCTGTATCCTGACCTGTGCAGGTATGTGATTTGGCCCCTGCTTTCCTCTACAACTGCCTCTTGCCCCACTTTTCCCCTTACTCTATTAGTTTTTCTTTTAATTCCTCAAAATGATTGTGTCTTTTATTTGTTTTGTTTTACTCATGCCCTCATTCATTTATTCCTATCTTCTGGAATTTTATTTTCTTCTCTTTTCTAGCTCCTATTAATCTTTTAGGTGTAACTAAATACTTCTTCAGAAAAGCCTTCTCTGACATCACAATAAAAATTAGGTCCACTATGTTAACCTCTTTCTTGATTGCCTTTTCTTTTCCTCCATATCACTAAGTAAAATTTGTAATTGCGTGTTTATATGTTAATGTATGTGTTTTTTTCTAGACTGAAAACTCCAGGAGGGCTTGATGCTTTATAATATTTATTGAGTGAGTGAATGAATAAATTCAAAAAGGAATGTAAGATGCAGGATTTCCAATGTTAACTGACCAGGGGTTATTATATTTTAGAAGTATTGATCTATCAAATAGATTTACCTTAATGTATATATTACCCTCGTAATAATGATATCTAACATTTACTCAGGGATTGCTGTGCCTTATGCATACCTTAAAAAATTAATTAGGCCAGGCACAGTGGCTCACACCTGTAATCCCAACACTTTGGGAGGCCGAGGTGGGGGGATCACGAGGTCAGGAGTTTGAGAGCAGCCTGACCAACATGGTGAAACCCCGTCTCTATTAAAAATACAAAAAAATTAGCTGGGCGTGGTGGCACGCACCTGTAATCCCAGCTACTCAGGAGGCTGAGGCAGGAGAATTGCTTGAACCCAACAAGGGGAGATTGCAGTAAGCCGAGATCATGCCAGTGTACTCTAGCCTGGGTGACAGAGCGAGACTCCGTCTAAAAAAAAAAAAAAAAGGTCAATTAGGCTACAGTTTACTGGTTAACTACTATCACTGCCAGGCACAGCGACAGGTATTTTATATACAACAGCTTTAATACTCACAATAACCCTGAAAGGTAAATTTCTATCATCAATATTTTAAAGATGAGGAAACTAAGGCTTAGAAAGGGTAACTGACTAATCCAAGGTTATTCAGGAAGTAAATGATTGAGGCATGATTTGAATCTACATTGTATGATTGCAAAACCATTGCTCTTTAAATCGAATTGTACTTTCTCTTAATAACAAATAATCTGAACGTTAAAGTGCCTTTCTTAGTACTTAACCTTATTTATAGAAAGTTTTATTCTCCTCAAAAATGTCATGCTATAAAAATTATCTTTCTTTTCTGGTATCTAGAAAATGCCTATTAATAATATGTTATCAAAGATTTTGAAACTGCAAAATTATGAAGACGTGAGAATTGATTTTAATTTAGTGCTTATTAAACAATTCAAATATTTAAATCATGACATAAAATATACCTTTTCCCCCCAGTGTCTAATGTTAATTGCATCTTAGTTAGTTCAGGCTTCTATAACAAAATTCCATAAACTAGGAGGCTTATACACTATAGAAATTTATTTCTCACAGTTCTGGAAGCTGGGAAGTTGAAGATCAAGGTGCCGGCAGATTTGGTAGTTGGTCAGGGCCTGATTTCTGGTTTATAGACAGCACCTTCGTGCTGTGTCCTTACATGGTGGAAGAGGAAAATGAACTAACTCCCTTATGCCTCTTTTATAGGACACTAATCCCTGACCCATCACCTCCCAAAGTCCCCATCTCCTACTACCATCACTTTGTTTAGGATTTCAACACATGAATTTTGGGGAGACACAAATGCAAGCCATAGCAAACTGCCTTTCTGATGTGAATGGAATAGTGTTTTCTTTTGTCACAAATAGCGAGACAGGGCACTAAACCAAACTAGACATTTTTAAAGAAAACTTTCCATTTTCTTTTTCATTTTAGTTGCAATTTCTCCTACTGGCTCTTATATTTTGGGAAATTAAATTCAAATCAATAGCTGCTAACTTTTTGATTATAACAACAGGACCAGAATTGACTTGAAAAGAAAGTCAATTTTTCTTGATAATGAGTGAAAATCAAGATTTGATGGAAGCTAGTGGTATGATAATGGTTGCTAAAATATTTGAACAGCTGAGGAAGGAGAATGCCCTCAGTTAGGGGCTGAATAGAAATAGCATTTCTCTCTCAGTATTAGGAAATACATGAAAAGTTTTATAAATTTAGGGGGTAAGAGAAGAAAAAATACAACTAAAGGAAAAACATGGACAGTCTGAAATATATAATGAAGATCAGAAAACTGCAAATGACTCTAATAAAAGAGAAAGTTTCAAGGAGTAGTTAATATCAAAAAAGTGAGATGAGAAATATGTAAAATAACTGTTATTTTTTTCAACATAATTTACTCATTTCCCTCTGCGTTTTTGAATTGGAATGATCCTTTCCCATCAATCCATTTTCCCTCTCCTCCTTTGAAACTCAGTGTACATTTTAGGTGTACCTGGCCATGCTGCAGTTTAAACTGTATGAAATTATGAAATTGTAGGTTAAAAAACTGTCATGTATTGGCAAGTACATATGATTTAACCTGGATTCATCTCTTTATTTTATGTGCAATCAGCATAGATATATAAACATTTTACAATGAAGAAAAATAAAGCACATTAGGTCACAGTCCTTGTTACTAGTGAGGCTAGTATTTTAACCCTGATATGTCGAATTTGGCAGTGTGTACTATTTTTACTGCAATAATGAATGAATATTTGTTGAATGGAGTATGTGTATGCTCTGTAGACACCAAGAACAATGCCATATCTCAGAGTGCTCAGTAACAATTGAATGAATGAACAGATGAATGAATGAATATGTGTTCAACCATATCACAAATGAGCATTTATTCTTCCACAGTTGATTGTTAAAGTAAGTAAAGAAGACAACATAAAACATTATATGGAGAAGTAAAGAAGTAGTGTCCTATTTCTTATTTGATATATTTAAAAATTAACATTTAAATAACTCAGAACACATTAACAATTGATCAGTTTTTGCTTTCTTAGTTTGTTTTATAAATCATTTAATTCTATTAGTGACTTCCTGGTGTGCTGCAATTGGTGTAAGTCAGATTTATTAATGGATATACAAGAAGAATTTCATTATAACAGTTTAACACGTTACACAGATCCTTGGTATAATTCTTTTAAAAGAACATAAAATGGCCAGTGCTTTCATTTTTCAAAGCAAATCTTCAATTGTGTTTGAAAAAACCTTGTAGTTGCTGGTCTCCAAACCCTAAATTGAATTCCTCCTTCCACAGTGAAAGTAAATTTAGGTAAAAAATTACCCACAAAACTACTAGTTGTGGTCCCTTTAAAAACCAGATACGGTGGCTGTAACCATAAGTCATAGACTTCCTGCTGCCATTTCTGACCCGATTAAAGAGGACACTTGAGTTTCAACTCACCCCTGCCGATTAGGGTAAGGGGGTTTATGTTACTTAAAAATCATCATCAGCTGGGAACTGGGAACTGAGAAAGAGTTGTCTTTGGGTGGAAATCTTATTAAGACCTGTAAGAAAAAAAAATGCATCTACTATCATGCCTAATGTCTTGGCATTTGTTTTCCAAGGGTCCACCTGGTCCAGCAGGTATCCCAGGTCCGTCAGGGAAGAGAGGTCCACGGGTAAGTAGATGGGCTACGTTTCCTGCTGGCAGTGAGAATTTTTAACTTTCTAATATGTTTTCTCTAGTATTGTACAGTATGTACTTCCTTTGGAAACCTGCCTGGATCTTCAAACTTAGTCCTACCTTAGCCAATTCAAGAGAAGTTTAAGAACACATGTAGCCTAGTTTATTTTGAGTGTAAACACACAGCCAACGCATTCTCCGTGAACGTGTCCAACAAAGATGATCAAATTTGTAAATTAGTGGTTGTTCTGGTACTACTTGTAACATTATTCTTACTTATAAAGTGATTGCAGTAGTCTAAGGTGAGGTTCATTTGTTTGGGGAAATGAAGAGGAGTGGGCTGCCTTAAAACAGTACATTCCTGGATTACATAGTGGAAAATTCTGAAGCTATTGACTAGAAAATAACTGCCCTGAGGGAAAAAGCTGCATTAAAGATCAGCAGTAGTTTTTCACATTACACAGGCCCAACAAAAGACTTATTGCTGTGTTAAAATTAGTTTCTTTCAAACCTAAAAAAAGTGTGCATATTTTACTACAAAATGCCTTTGTTCAATAAGTTAGAAAAAGAATTGTATGACAAATGCAAATACCTTTTATATAATCCACTTTGTTTTTATTCTGATTTTTATTTAACATACGAAGACTATAAACAAAAAATTACTCTAAAATATTACCTTAAGTTGTCCATAGTCACATCAAACTCTTGTCCATTTGAGGCCTAAGATGAATTCTCACTGGGCTCTAGCTGTTTTGCATTAAAACAAATTCTCTGTAGTTGATGACCTATCACATTTCTCGTGTAGCCCTTCCTAAATCTTGCTCATTCTCCTCTAGCCCATGAACCATTCCCATCCTCCTACCTCTCTGTGAGAATTTGGATCCTACTTTTCTGAGAAACTGGGCCCATTTTCATACTAATTCTATTCCCTATCCACTGCTAAGGTTGTTCTCTCAACAGCGTGAACTTCAGGTTCGGAATCTCCATCTGTTCTTATAATACAGCAGTTTCCTTCCATAATTTACTTTTTATCTTCCATTTATTTGTCCAATTCTCATTCCCTTAAGGAAGAAAGAGTGTTTTTCTCAAGGCAAATTATTTTACTTGGGTTCCTAATTTCACCTTATCTAACTTAAAATTTGCAGCTTCACATGTTTTCTCTCTGTAAATTTTATATTTGGCAACAACCAACTAGTTAACCCTCTTTTATAAATCCCAAACTTTCATTGATATTAATTTTTCCTAAAGCTATTGTTTTGGCTCACTGTTTACTGAGCTTTGTGAAATAATAATTTATATCCATTGTCCTTACTTTTAAATCAGCAACTTATTCATTAATCCCCATAAATGTTTTACATATACTTTATTAAAATGTACTTTTTGAAGGCTACCAATAACATAAGTCATAACATCTAACCATTTATTTATTTATTTATTTTTGTGAGACAGGGTCTCACTCTGTCACCCAGGCTGGAGCGCAGTGATGGGTATCATAGCTCACTGCAGCCTTGATCTCCAGGGCTCAAGCCATCTTCTCACCTCAGATTTCTGAGTAGCTGGGACTACAGGTGTGGGCCACTATGCCTGGCAAACTTTTTTGATTTTTGGTAGTGATGAAGTCTTGTTGTGTTGCCCTGGCTGGTCTCTCCTGAGCTCAAGTAATGCTCCCACCTTGGCCTCTCAAAGTGCTAGAATTACAGATGTGAGCCACCACACCCAGCCAAAATTTAATCTTTTTTCTTTAGTTTTCATCCTGCTAGTCATATTTTCAATATTTGCATTGCTGACATCTCTGCCTTTCTGAAGCATTCTGCTCTATTAATTCAGAATTGAAGAGACAAATAATTATTAACTATATGTTATGTGTTAAGAGGGAGGTATGACTGAAGAGCACAGAAGTAGGGTGCAAAATTGAAGTAAGTATAGGGAGCCTGGAGACATGGAAGCCTTTCTTGGAGAGGGTGACCTGTTCCTCTACTTACTGGTTGTATGAGCTGATTTTTAAATGGGAGTAAAAATAATAACCTTGCAGGATTGTTATAAGGATTAGTAATGAGAGGCACAAAACATTAACAGTTTGTAGCATATAGTAGGTACTCAGAAATGGAATCAAGTTTTGAATTCAGATTATATAATTTATCAGTGATGCAAAATCAAATTGCTAAATATTAATTGAGTGTAGCCATTCAATGTGTTAAGTACTATACTAGTAATATTTTTAAGAGTCTCTTTTCAAAGAATTTATAATCCTGGGGCTAAATAGAACATGTCATAAGGTAGTTAGAACAGCAATAAAGTATTTAAGCAACAGATTAGAACAGTATAAGAAATGTCCCGAGGCAATATACAATTACTTGGCAAATGAATTTTACATGAAGAAATTTCTATAGAAGTTAGTAGGAAAAAGATATTGCTTCATGTTCTTGTGACTAGGATTTAAAAATGAGTTGACATCTGAAGAATAATTTGGGTAGGTATAGGGGATAAGCTAAAGGAAATAGGTCTTTAACGCATATATAATAAAATAAGCAAAAACTCAAGTGTAGAAAGGGATAACACATGTTGACAGGAAAGTAAGCAATTGTACTTTGTTCCCTTCCAATATGTTCCAGGAATGATGACTTTTTTCACTACTTGCAGGGCATACCAGGGCCACATGGAAATCCTGGGTTACCTGGATTACCTGGTCCAAAGGTAAGTGACTACTAATGAGTATCACATGATTTTCCTGACATTAAAAAGAAGATCCCTAACATTTAAGGCCAGTCTTGATACATCAAGGATCTCTATCATCTCCAGAGCATGATTCTTCAACATGATTGTCTTAGCCTGGCAGAGAGCTAGGTTCCTCTGAAAGCCCACCATACTTGGATTTATGTTCTTAGTAGTAAAATCAGGTATAGGCCTGCTTAGTATTCCAAAATCATTATTGTCAAAAATATGATGGCAATGTATGGAAACCTCTGAAATATAAGATTATGATTTGAGTAATTTACCTTACTCAAGGGTCATTTTAATTTGTAAATAAACACCAAGGAAATAAACTATTATTTGCCTGCTCCACACTTCCCTAATTATTTTTACCTGAAAAAACTGAGGATGTTTAAAGAATGATCAAATGTTTATGAAAACATCTAACCTGAAAATCTATATATATGAGTGTACATAGTTATATGATAGTCATATGATAGATGATTGTGTGATAAATAGTAGTAAGAACATAGAAAAATTTATGGAAGAATGCAGGAACACAGGTTGATTACCTTGTGAGGAAGTATGGGAATGGAGATATCACTAAATATAAATATAAAATATTTAGTGATATCTCCATTCCCATACTTCCCCATTAAGATGAAAGATTCCCATTTCCATTATATATAATATATTAAATAAATATATATAAAATAAAATATTCCCATTCCCTTAAAATATATAAAATAAGGTATTCCCATTCCCAATATATATATATTCTTAGTTTTTCAGGCTGCTATAACAAAATACCATAAACTGAGTAGTTTATAAGCAACAGAAATTTATTTCTCACAGTTCACACAGTTCTGGAGCCTGGGAAGTCCAAGATTAGGGCACCAGAAGATTTAGTATCTACTGAGGGCTTGCTTTCTGGTTCATAGGCAGAGTCTTCTCAATGTGTCACCACACAATGGAAGGAACTAACTACATCTCTGGGGTCTCTTTTATAAGGGCATTAATCCCACTCATACGAGCTCCACCTATCATTACATTGGGGATTAGGTTTCAACGTATAAATTTTGAAGGGAAAAACATTCAGTCTATTGCATTAAGAAGAGGAGAAAAGAAAAAAGTGTGCATATGAGTGATGACAGAGGTTGGGGAACAGATTAGATAAGTATTAGGATCTTGGTTGCCAGTAACTTCACGAATCTTTGAGGATCTCACCCCTCTGCTTATCAGTGATCGCATTCAGAAGTAAACATGAAATCATATAGATTGGGGTTAAGAACAGAAGTTCTGGAGTCTGACAGATGTGGGTGCAAGTCTTAGCACTTTCAATTTGAATGGCTAAAAGCAAATTGCTTGCTTAGGCTCATCAAGCTTCTCTCCTTTTCTGTAAAATAGGGAGAATCATGCTACCTGGTCATAGTGCTATAGTGATGGCTAAATACATTAATGTGAGTAAAGCTCTTAACATGGTGCTATGATGCCATAAGTAGTATCATTATTATTAATAGGTAATAATAGCATATAACAAGGATAACTCAAATCTAAATTTTCTAAAATTTCTCACCTGTGTTGAAAATTGTTTTGAGTTCAATAAAAGTGCCTCAGAGAGGAAAAACCAATCTTTAAAATCAAGTCTGGATGAGTAATAGGGAAGAAGATAGATGGTTTCTAAAGAAATTAGGAATTTGTTTTTGAGTTTGTGGTTTCATAGCCCTTCGAGCTTTATTTGGGGACTTTATAATTAGTCTAGTAAGGTTAAAGTAGCTGTAAGGGCTCAGATTATATTTCTCCACAGGGCTGAAGTTATACTGGGTTTATATTCCTGCTAATTGCCTCCTCTCCACAAGATCCAGGGAGACAGAAAAAAGGAGAGGGGAATTTCCACATGGCTTTTATTTTTCTCCCCCTTCTAGGTTGGTGCTAAAGTAATTCCGGGTTTTGCACATTAAAAAGACAGAAACCACAATTACTTTTGCACCAACCTAATACTTCAGCCAGTAGCGAACAGTTAGGCACTCTTGTAATTTATCTCTCAATCTGCAGTGGCAAGTACCAGTTTACTCCCTTTAGAGAATCCATTTTTTTTTTTTTTTCTTTTTTTGAGACGGAGTTTTGCTCTTATTGCCCAGGCTAGAGTGCAATGGTGCGATCTCGGCTCACTGCAACCACCGCCTCTGGGGTTCAAGCGATTCTCCTGCCACAGCCTTCTGAGCTTCTGAGTAGCTGGGGTTACAGGCGTGTGCCACCATGCCTGGCTAATTTTCTATTTTTTAATCTTTTTTTTAGTAGAGATGGGGTTTCTCCATTTTGGTCAGGCTGGTCTCAACTTCCCGACCTCAGGTGATCCGCCTGAGGAGTGCCAGCGTGAGCCACCACGACCAGCCCGAGAGTCCTTTCTTAATAAGCACTGTTGCTGTTTCAGAATAGAAGCAAATACAAACAAAAAATGTTGAAAATAGAGTGAGGAGAGATAACGTAGAGATGGTGGAAAGTATTTTATTTCATTGGCTTCTTAAAATGTATATAAATATTTAGAAAAAATATTTGAGAAAATGAAGAACTTTGTTTCAAAGTAAAATTATCTCTGTTCCAAGATTAAACACATTGTAATAGAGATCCCAGTTACCTTGATTTGATTATAAGAGTATATCAAATTATTTATCACATGTACCTGGAGAATATGTATCAAAATAAATTTTAAAAATATTAAAAACAGTATTTTAAAATAGTGTTTAGTATTAATATATGTCTGTGAGATGACCTAGGAGAGAAGAAAATGTAATCTCAAGAGTCTTCTTTAATATTATATTTAGTAGGATGGACTTAATTTTGACTATAACTATTCACCAATAAGGTATTTCATGAACCCGCATATTAGGGATTTAAAAACCTACATTTATTTTGCAAAAACTTAGGCCTATTGGGAATTTACTCATATAAACCTGAACAATAGTCTTTAATTAACATTTAATTTGAAGATCTGATAACTGTGTCCAAACTAGCCAAAACTGATCATGATTTAACTGCATATATTTGTGGAAGACAGTAGATTTGTGACAGGTATTAAAAATTATCATTGTGTCACAAATGTATCATATAAATCTTGTAGTATTTGATTTTGTGAAAACGATTTTCTTAGATACTTAACATGCATTTTTAGAGTAATCAGAATTAATAGAACATTCAAGCTTTATACTTTATAATCCTCTCATCCAATATCTGCCACTTACTTTATGTATGACATCTCTTTAGTTTTATCCCAATCATAAGTACTATGAGAGCAGGCTTTATTACCTTCTGGTTTGCACTGAAGAAAACACTTGAGAGCAGTAAGCACTTACCCAAGGTAACACTGTTTGTAAGTGGTAGAGGGGGAGACAAAATTGGAAATGTCTTGGTCTTTTCTTTACGCAAGGTTGTCTCTCCCAACACAATGAGGAATTCTTTTATAAAATACCACCTTAAGAAGGCAGGATAGTGGTGGGGTTAACTAACTTAAAGACTTTATGAATTTATTTAGTAATAGTAACAAAGTAGTTATATTCAAAGGTTTTAGGTTATCCTGTAGATAATGATAGTAATATAGACATTCTATGAGGAGTGAAACTGATTCCTAATCCCTGAGGATTGTATTGTTAAATTGCTAAATAATAGAAATATAAAGTGCCACACACAAATTTAGTGGATATGCAGCAATTTTTCTCAGCATCTAAAACTAATATGATTTAAAATAGAGAAAGACTACGGGGATCATTAACTGAAATCATTGGCTGAAATCAGGGGACTGATGGTAGAAATAATGTTCTTCTTAAAAAAAATAAGAAAGTAAATTCCATTTCCTGTTTGCCAGAGAGAATGGCTTTTTTCTTGTTATCAAATGCCACCTGGGTGTATAGTTTATCGTATTTATCTATTAAATGAACTATATTTCTATTTATTTGCAGGGTGATGGAAATGTTCATTGCTATTAATTAAATACGGAAAATTATGCTATAGATCTTTGAACATGAGTAATGAATGCACGTAGAGTCTGTATCTTCAGCCTACCATATGCTTACAATTCCAGTCCAGGCAATCTGTGGTCAAGATAGTTCTTTTCGAAAAAAACGCTTCTTGGAGGAAGCCTAAAACCTTCCTACAGACATTCACGTCCTGTATTAATTTAGTCAGGGCCAATAGTTCTTTCAAATTTAATCCAGTTAAATGAAAACATCTAGCCTTAATAACCCACAGTAACAATGTTTCATTAATAATATTTAATATATTAGCATATATATTAAGTATTGAACACCAAAGAGTAGTATCTTGGTGCTATGTTCTATCCCTGGTTAAGACTGTCTTTTCCTATGTCTCCATCATATTTTTATCTTAACTAGAAGTACAATTTTTCCTTCCATATGAATTAAATAAATATCTTAAGTACAGATGCTTACCCACAATAAGAATTTTTAGTGGGTCAGATTGTCGAAAAAAATAGTCAGTCCAACATTATGAAAATGTAAAGGATAATATGGGAGCTGGGCAAGATGACTGACTAGACACAGCCAGGTGGAACAGCTGCCACTGAAGACTGGGATGACTGGCACACTCCTAACAGATCTGTAGAGAAAGGGCACGGAGAGTGGACAGAGGGAAGACACAGAAGCTGGGTGGAAGAGGGAGGAAGCTGGGAATCCTGCACAGGGCTACTTCCCATCAGGACTCATTCATGGACCCCAGCTCCTGGGGAACAGGTGAGTTGAACTGGCAAGGAGCAACCTGCTTTCACCATGGGCCTCTGGAATCCCGGCAGGAGGAGACCCATCAACCACCACAGCCACTTGATTGGCAGGGAGAGCTGCTTAGATAAATGGTAGGAGCAGCACTTCAGCAAGTGTGGAGCCCAGAGGGTTTGGTGCAGGAGCATCTGTAGTGGAGCATGGCCAGGAATGCCAGTCACCCTAAGCTCCACTTGCTCCCACAGGAGACTTTAGCCCTAGGGGAACTGTTCC